ACAGCCCCGGCCATGGGAGCTGGGTGGCAGGCACTGGCTCTGGGGGGACACATCGCGCCCCCAAACCACAGCCCCCTGCGGCGGGTGGGCGAGGGCAGCCCCAGACACCCCGCAGAGCCCCTGGGGTGCAGCGGGGGCTGGCCTAGCCCCGCTGGGGCACAAGTGCAATGAGCGGGCTGGTCTCAGCTTGCCATCTAGTGGAGAGCGGCCGTAGGGCCTCCTCCACGCTCGCCCTGCTCCATTTTGTGCTGCCCGCAGCGCTGGGGGACGAGCCGGACGAGCCCGAGCTCCGCTCCCAACGCAGCCCAGGGACACGACATCACCCCGTCACCCAGTGCCAGGGTGGCCGCCACGGCCCCAGCGAGGCCCAGGGTGGCCCTCGTGGATGTGAAGCCGAGGAGGAGCTGAGCCGGGTCGTGGCCGGGAGCCCCGAGGTGGCTGCCGAAAGGAAATCGAGTCCTTCACGCCCGCCATGATGTGTCTGATCGCCCCGAGCTCCCGCTGGCTGCAAGCGAGAGCCCTCGGCACCCTGTAGAAAGGGGCTGTTGAACACCCCACCGCCAAGGAAAGGTTCCGAGTTCTTGTGCTGGTGCCACTCAACTGTCCCCCACAGCCCTCAGCTTCGCCCGCTCGGCGGCCACACAGCCCAGCAGCGGAGGAGCAGACACGACAGCCTGGGTGGGCACGAGACCCTGGGAGGTTTCTAGACATCAGAGCGGTGAGGTCCTGGAATTGTCTTCCAGAACAGGAGCAGAAACCTTATTTGCCTTCCAGAGGACGGAGCTTCATCGCACTAAGAGTGCCAGGAGGAACAGGCCCCTTCCAGTACGACAGGTCCGACCCCGGGGAGGTCCCAGGACAAAAAGCTTCTGCCAGGCTGGCCTGGCTGTCCATCCAGTGACCAGCCTCCAGCTTCCCGAAGCACACGAGGGACTTTGTACTTTGTTCTTGCCTTTGCGAACTTGCAGATTATGTTAAAGAACTGCAGAGAGGGTAAGGGGAGCTGAAGGGAAGGAGAAGGCATTGCTGATGTGTCACCATTTCAGAGCCCGTCCTCCCTCCCCGGCAAGGGCATGAGACCGACTGCTCGCCCCCGGCCCGCGGCGCACTCGGCTGTGCAGCACCAACAAAACCAGCTCCGATAGGAAAGGCTGGCTGTATTTTATAGACTTGTATTGCTTTAAAGAACAAAAAGGAAAAACAAAAGAAATCGAGCAAAGGGCAGCACAATGCAAGTGCCACAACAGCACTGCTCAGGTCCCAGCCATGTCTTATGGACTCGGACAGGATCACAGCCGGTTGCGTTTGCCGTTTCACACCGACTCCTCCATCACCACTCCGGATTAACACAGCTCAGCCGGGGCAGGAGCGAACACGTTTCGTACCCTTAACCCTCTACACACCCTTACCTCGCTAGGGCCGCTTTCCTGGAGAAGCGCTTTCATGTCCCAAACACTTCAAATCCAGCATCCCACTTCTGCCCTCACTGACATGAAAAGGATTTCTAAGATTACCGACCTGCTCGGGAAGTAAGAGCAGGAACCGCTGACACCAACATCTCCCTTTTGGCTGGCATGCTCGCTGCAGACTTGGCAAGCAAAGCCACAGCCTTACTAGAACGCTTATCTTGTTCAGTTCTTTGCCACAAAGCAAACAGCCTAATTTGTGCCTCTCTTAATCCTACAGCCTACCACAGCCGCCGCTATGAGCCAACACAGCTTTTATTTTTGACTTTGGCTCCAACAAAGTTTCAAAGAAACACTCTGGCCTCTACCATATACATTAGCAAACTGCATCACCAGAGGAGAAAAACCGTAGGAAACTTATCCCGAATAGCCTAACAAAAATGAACGCAACGGCTCTCTTATGGAGTTCGTATTTTCTCCTATTTCCAGCCTCTGTAACATAAAAGAAAACCCAAAGTCAACATAGGGGGTTTAGCCAAATTAATAACAAGTGGTAAGAGTTAACAGACTGACGATAGCTATCTGGAGACTGCTTTGACTGCAAGATATATAATAAATCTTTTCAAGTTGTGACAAATGTCTTGGCTAATGCAGCCCACAGTCTATGTTTAGATCTTACTAAAATGTAATACAGCATTTGGTTTTAGTTTTTTAATTATAATTAAGAAACAAACTCCAGGCCACTTTATTCTCTCCACAGTCCAAATCTGCACATGGAATTACTGTCCCCACTGTGCCAATCTTTCCCACACTCAATATTCAAATCAAAGGAAAACCAGACATTCTTTCCAGTAGGGTTTTTTGGTTACAGTAACATAGTCAAAGCATAGAATGGATATTTCTAGGAGTCCAGAGGTTAAATCCTTCTCTCTTGCTCAAGGTAACATCCTACACCCTGGTGTTGCGAGATAAGAACCCAAACAGAACAGACAACTCCACTTTTGATGGATCAGGGAGGATAACCGAGGACAAGGAGCCACCTCGTCTGTCAGCACACACCATCTTCGCCAGTCAAACGCCTCTTGGATCCATTTCCACACAAGCTGCGTTCCCAGGGCTCCCGCAGCACACCTGGAAGGCCACGTTTAAACGCCACCAGCATTTCAGGGCCGTGAGCTATTGCATTAACGCGCTGCAACAATCCTTGACGTGCCGGACGAGCAAGCTACCCTGAGCTGATGGGCATGATAGGGAAGAACAGAAACACGCAGGCGGCGGCACGAAGACCTGTGAGTTTTTGAAGGAGTTCGCATAACCAGATTCTGAAACAGGATAATCCAGGCCGCCCTCCGCAGCACCTTTCGCGTGTGCAGCACTTCACAAGCACGCAAAACCCCCGCCTGCACCTCCGCAACCTAAACCTCACAGCCCAGCTCTGCTGTTGGGCCGAACGCTGGTACCATCAGCGGGTCAAAACGCAACTGGCTGACCGTATTCACGCGGCTTTCGCAGCCTGGCAACAACCCTCACATCACCCTCGTCGCAGCTTTCACATCCTCGCGACAAGGAGGTGAGGCAGTGGGGAGCAGGGGAGCAGGCTGCAGCAGGACAAGGCTTGATTCTACGAGCACGAACAGACGTTTTGTTTCTGAAGAAATTGAGAATATTGTCCTGTCTCCGGGTGCCACCAGAATGGAGGCAGGAGTCAGCTTAGGAGGGAACAAGACAGCTTGCACGCTGGAACGGCTGCCACGTCTTACCCCCGAGCGTCCTCCCACTACAGCTGCCCCAGGGCAGGGCCACCCGGGGCCAGAGCCCAGGCGGCTCCCCCAGACACAGGTCCCTTCTCAACACGACAGAAAGAGGGAGCAGGGGCTGTCCCACGCACACCACACACACTCAGGCCTTTTAGTGCCTCCATGCCCGCCCGTCCCACAGTGCCTGTTCCTGGAAACAGTATGTCTGCAGGCATAACTGAGCATTTCTGTCCCAGAAGCACCAGTTTGCTGCAGGGAGGAAACCCAGCACGGCAGAACTGGGGTGACCATCAGAGGTAGGTCCACACTCACAGCGCAGGCCCTGTGAGGGACCAGGGTTTATCCAGCCTGGAGAAGGAAAAGCTATGTGGGGACCTGGCCCAGCCTTCCTACGAGGGAGGCGGCCGAGAGGCAGAACCAGGCTCCTCAGTGCTGCGTGCAGGACAAGAGACAGCAGGAAAGGTTCAGAGCGGGTATCAGGAGAAACTCTCCTCCAGGAGAACGGCCAGGCAGCAGAGCTGGCGCCCAGGGAGCAGTCGCCTTCCTCAGGTGTTTTCAGCACTCAACCGGATAAAGCCCCGAGTAACCTGCTGCGAGCAGGTTGGACTGGAAACCTCCTGAGGTCCCGTCCCACCTGAATTACCCAACGGATCTTTGATTCCAGGCTGAGACCTGGCTGTAATCCACAATGAGATGCTTTATCTGGAATCCAGGGCAGCACCCTCACGCACACGCAGCCTCCTAGACCTCTGAACGTGCTTGCCTAAGCCCAGCCTGTGCTTTCCACCACTTGCTGAGCAGCCCACACGTACCCACGTCTCACCTGGCTTTAACAAACGCTTTTTCTGACAAACGAGGACCTTTTCGTGGCCTGGGAAGGGGGGAGCTGCTCAAATCAGTACCAGGCTGTGGCTGTGCTGGGACGGGACACCCCGCTCCCCGCATGGACGCTCCTCCAACCGCCAGAGCCTGATCAAGCCCGGAAGACACAAAAAAATGTACGGGCTGTCCCGGAGCAGCCCCGGCCGCTCTCGCAATCCGCAAAGTTTCTCTTCGGATCCCGCTACGCTTTTGGCCACGCCGAGGCACAGAGGCCACCGTCTCGTCCCGCTCTGCACACGAAGGCCGCTCGGCTGCGTTTGCCCGTCATCGCTGGACGGCCCCCGCGCCGGCACGACACAGCGCCCGCACCCGCCTCCCTCCCAGGGAACCCAGTCAGAAACAGCCAGAGCTCTTCCAGCTTGGCAGGGAAGTTCGCAGATGCATTAGAAAATTAAAAAAAAAAACAAAACAGCTATGAGTTTTCTGAAAACCTCCCTAATCCCTTCCAGAGGTGAGGAAGCCTGCACGGCTTTGGCACGGCGGGAGCGAGCACAGCAGCGAGGAGGCTATCGCGGAGCGCAGGGAACAGGGGCTACGCTCCTCTGCTCACATGAAATCTGCAATTCTCTGCAAGACCCAGAAACAGCTGCCAGATGAGCTGCAGGACTCAAAAAGCCCTGGAAATCTACAGCGTATTTTCTTCCACTGCTCTTTTTGCCATGTTTTCCTTTCAGCACAGCGCAGCAGCGTGTTTGTGCTGGCCAAGCCTACCCTCCTCCTTTCCACCGCACCTTCAAGCAATCCAAGCACAGGAGATACAGTATTACCTCAAATATTTAACCAAGGGATTAAACTATTCTCTTGGCAGAAGGCGTGAGCTGCCCCACGGATACAGCTCTTGCACCGGCTGGCAGGCGCTGCGTGACAGCCTGCTTCACAGCAAACAATCTGCCCCAGGCTACGAAAAGCTCTCCATAATTTTCTCCAACGCTTTTTCGCTAATATTTCTGCTCACCGGTTCCCGGCCATCCATCGCCTCCATCCACAGCCTTCGGTCCTCTTCTGAAAGTGCCTGCATGGTGATCACACCGGGCCTGCGGAGATAAAGGGAACACCATAAATAAACTGCAGGATGGAAGACAAAGATGACAAAGATAAATTTCTCATGAGAAAGAGAGAGAGGACAACCTTCTCCCCAGCCGAGCCCCGGCAGCGTGGGGCTGAGCCCAGCCTGGCCTCTCCAGGGATGTCCCTGCAGCTCCTAGCCAGGGCCAGCAAATGAGCAGAGGCTATCTCCAACAACTGCCATGCGTTTTCAGTGGGTTTAGTGTAAGAGAGCGGGATGCCAAATTCTTCCTCTGGCTTTCAGCCGGCCAGCTCACCTGCACTTGGGCTAGGCGCATCCGCGCAGCAGCAGAAGGCAAGGAAGGCAACCAAGCAAGCAGCAGCCCCGCGCCCCCCAGCCCTCCACGTCCCACCACCCCCCCAAGCACCGGCTCATGGCGGGGGACCTTCTGCTTTCCTCCCCGACACGCTCACGGCTGCGCCGCTTTCCCGGCCACGTCCCTGTGCTGACGTGACCGGCAGCGAGGGCAGTGATGCCCCCCCGGGCCGCGTGGCCCTGCGGCAGCCGTGCGGGGGGAGCGCTGCCAGGGGTCCCGGGGTGCCCCTGGGTGCTCTCTCCTGCGCAGCCCTGCCACCCGCACCGTGACACAAACAGCCCGTGAGCCGCACTGTAAACCCAGCCTCCAAAGAACAACTCTGTGTTTGATCACTTATTTTAATGAGAAGGGAAACGAACAGGCCCAAGGGCCTGCAGACAAAGCCCGGGGAGGCAGGGGACGCCACCAGCCCAGCCCTCGCCCGCTGGCCAACGCCACCTCTACCACTCGTAAGCAGAGCCCAAGCCCTTTCCCCTTTCCCTACAGGGAGTTAAAACTTAATTATCTAGCTCTGATAAGCACGACCACCAGCAGGGTGGTGGATTTAACACTGCGGAGAGCATTTGCACCGCTTCAGGTGCGGGCTGTGTGTTCGCACGAGAGAGGAACCCGTCACAGAGGGGGAAGCCGATGCTCTACCCCCACGGTCACGTCACAGGCTGACGATTCACTGCGCCTCGCTTGGCTGCAAGATCTCCGCTCCCCCTCCTCAACGCCCCTGCTCGCCTCGCAGCCAGCAGACCCAGACCTAGTTAGTCCCAGTCTCATGCCTTTGGGGCCGAATTCCCCAGCCTCCAAAGTGGGGGTCGCATCCTGCCGCGCCGCACAGTGCCCCGCTCTCAGTGAGACAGCCCCAGTCTGTTGGTCTGGTCTGGTCGTTCTGCTCCCTCCCAGGCTATTTCCAGATGCATTAGCGAGCGCAGCAGCTATTTCTGCAGGAGAGCAGGCAGCAGCCCTGGCAACGGGGGAGACGGAGGCACAGCCAGGGCGCTGCGCGACTCGGCGGGCTCGGGGTGGTTCCTGGGTGCTCTCCGCAGCAATGCCCGGCGGGTTTCACCCATTGGAAGTACAACCGCAGAGAACCCAACACTGCTCTTCCCATCCGCGGCAAAGCGCAGCGGCTCTGGAAAGGCCACAGAGAGGCAGGATCACCCCTCGCGGGGCACCAGCCTGCCAGGGCACAAGGGAAGGAGCGATTTCACCTCGGGAGCTGCCGGCCAACCGCCTGCCGACAGCGGTCAGCAGAGCATAGAGCTCCTCTCCGTACTAAATCCTCAAAAACTGATAAGGCTGGGGAAGAGGTGTAAATTCTAGCTCACGCTTCCCAAAAGTTCCCAGCAGGAGAACATGAGTTGCAACAACACTCTGCAAAAGTCGTTTGGTCCTTGGTAAGAGTCAATCCTCTGTTAGAAAAAACCACATGAACAGGGCTCCCATAGTGGTGGGTCTGTCCTGTCTTCTGGCACTTCTGATGTAGGTACGGGCAAGGAACAAAGGATTAACCCTTCTCCCTAACTCTGCTCCCCACCCAACCGACCCAAGGGCAGGCTCCAGCACACACACGGCAGCTCAGCACCATTTCACCAGCAGAAGCTGTGCGTTCAGGCTCGCAACAAGCCCAGGTCCAAGTAAACCAGACATAATATGTTTGATCTCCGCTAATCCCATTGGTGACTCAGTCAATACTCACCAGCTTAGTGGTTTGGAAGTTTACTCACTTTGAAGGGAAGAGGAAACCACTTAACCATCGCCCCATTTGAGAAAGAAAATGTTCAACTTCCAACGCCAAATATTTTCAAAACACTGCACAAAGCTCCTTGTTGTGCAGATACAAAGCGATTCAAGAATAGTCCCTGGTATCTGTGGAGCGGCAGGGGCACTGGCTACAGGCTGACAGCAAATCTTTCCCCCATGGCAGGAGCAGGCTTTTCCTTGGGTGACCAGAGGACTCAGCTGCAACCCCCTTCAGCCAGGGCTTAAGTCTGAGTTTAAGGCAAGCTGCTGTTGAAGGCACAGATACCCCAGGCAGAAAGCCCTGGAAAGGCTCTAGCTCAACTAGGGAGGCATGGGGAAAGGAAACACTGGGATTTCTTTAGCCAAGACATTAAAACAAAGAAATTTAAATGGCTCATTTGTTCACAAATGGTTCACACTGGCCGCCCAGCAAAGCACAAGGTCCTAGGGAGACAGTACTGGTATCTGGTGTGCCAGGTTCCCTCAAGCACAGCGCAAAAAGGTGATAACTCGAAAATGTTTGTTCTGCCTTTGAGCAGATAACAACTCTTTGGGCTACACTTCAAAGTCAAACTTATTTAACAGCATGAGGGGAGGGGCCGTGAAACTGAATTAAAGCCCTATTTACATTGCAAATAGCTCTGCATTTCCTCCCACAGCGTTCATTTGCCAAGGCATCCATTGCACCACTTCCCTGAGCAGAACCGTCCTCCTGGTTGTGATAAATTTAAAATGCACCCCACGCATTACGCCTCATTCATTATTTATTTGGACGATGCCCATGGGGTACCATGTGCTTAACAGTCAGGTAGGATGGCTGGTGCTGGAACAGCGTCCTCCTCACGCTACCAGCGCGCAGCAGTGTCCCGCTCGCTGCCTGCGGCCAGCCCCATCCTCAGCCAGCCCCATCCTCACCCCGCCTCATCCTCACCCCGCTGCCCTGAAGATCAACGTTTCCGAAAGTGCGCCCATTAGATTACGGATATCTCAATTATTCAGTGTAGAGCCTGAGACAGCGAAGGCCCTTCTCTGACTTCCTTTCCCCAAAGATAAACAAAACATATCTGCCTTCGTTCCCTCACCCAACACACAACTGATCCTGAAGACCAGAGCTCGATTTTGCCGCTGTAGCTCCCCTGCCCTCCCAAAGCGGGATGTGGCGTGGACAGGAGGAGCCTCCTCCACCCAGGGGGGTCTGCCCACCCCAGCCTGTGGCAGCGGGGCAGTGGGACACCCTCCTGGCTCTGACAGCTAAGATGCACAAACAGGAACTGTTGTGGCAAAGCAGATAAAGGACCCGCGGATTCGTTACTAGATGCTGCATCACGCAATTCTACCCCCAGGCACCAAAACACCTTCTGCTGGGGTGCAAGGGGGGAGAGGGACATTTTGGGATCAGAAGGAATCCATTTCTGAACTGGCTGGTGTGGGTAGTAGAACATGGTAAACACTTTGCAAGAAAGTATATTTTCAATATGTTACAATCTAAAAACTAAAGAGATTTTTTTTCCATACGAGACCACACAGGAAATTTGAATTTTTCTCAATATCTCAGCTTTTGTGAAAAACAAGCCTGGTTTTAAGGAGCTGTGACGCAGAGAAAATCATAACGTCCAATAGCTCTTCCTTCTTTCAGAAAAACAAACAAATAATGAAAGCAATAGAAACAGATAAGAACTTTCAACTCCTGCAGCAGCTTATCACACTGAGACGATCTAAACTGCTGAATGAAAAAACATAAGAGGGGACTAATACCGGGGTCTCGAGGGCCGAGCAGCGCTGAGCACGCGGAGCGCTCTGCAGTCCCCACCCGAGCAGAGCGGTGCACCCACACACGCCCCAGGGCACCCCACGGGTGTGGGGCGCTGCCCCACCCCCCAGCAGCCAGACGTGCCCCAAAAGATGAGAAAAGATGTAAATAAGGGGGAGACTTTGTTCCTGAATTCAGAAAAGTCTCGTTTGTCCACGCAAAGCTTAAAGCACCGTGGGTACAACCACCGCCAGCTCGCTCCGCAGGGGCAGGGGCCAGCGCGGGTCTCTGTGGTCGCCGAGGGGGGAATGAGCTTCATCTGCTCGCTGCCAGCCCGCCGGTGAAAATCCCATGAATCACTTTAAAAGGTCACTGGAAAGGCAACACCAGCAGAGGAACAAGTACAAGTCGTATTGCACACGCTGTCCAAAGCACCGGCGAGAGCCGCCGTCCCCACGGGTGCTCACGGGGAGCGCGCCCCGCCGCAGCCAGGCTGCCACTCGGACAGAAATACTCAGGTCTGAAAAACACAGACCCCAGGCAAGGCCAAGAACCTTCCTACTGACAACCAGCTGGGCAGGGAAACGCTGGGGCCGGCACCTCGCAGCTCACCCAGCCCGATGCCAACCTTTGCGCCGCCCGAGCGCGGTGCCAGCCGACTTGGGGTAGCCCCCCTGCAGAGTTTACTGCCCTTACGAATGACCAGGAGACCAAAACCCCCAAACCCCCACATTCTGAATACCTCCTGTTCCCATAAAAGCCAAATGGTATTAGAAGCACTTCGCTTCTGGCCTAGAGCAATGACCTACATTATCCTAAATTACAAAACCTTTGTCATCAGCCCAACGAGATACTCCTCCCAAGGCTCATTTTGTAAGGCACTGGCTGTCATCCCTGTTTACCTTGTTTACAAAACTGATTTAATGCACAGAGACTACAAATAAGTTTAGTTAGAAAAAAAGAGCACTGGCGGTAAAACACAGCATCCATCACACGGGGAATGTATTTCAGCCAGACACTAGAACACGCTACAACACCATTCTGGGGCTAATTTTGCTGTAAGAAAGCAATAAAATACTCCTAACTTCCCACACTGAAAATCAGAACTATTTGCAAATGCAGTGTCCGGGGTTTCTCAGACCTCTCACAGACACCTGTACCACAGCTTTTCAGTCTTCAGCGCTGGGAACTTCAGCATCTCCTTATCAGTCAACAGGAAAAGGAAACAGTGCTGTAATATAATAAAAGATTAGGCCCAAGAGTTTCAGCTCGGTAGAGCTGAATCATCTTTACAGGAGAAAAAACAATTTTTTTTCCCCCCTCCTAATGAGCAACACCTTCTCTGGGCGTTCTTTAAAAAGCCCCCAGCCCGCGCCCCACGTGGCAGGCACAGCAGTTCCCCCAACGCCAGGCTGAGCGGCGCGTTGCCCTGCGGCGGGCGGGGAGCAGGAGGGCCCAGCCGAGGCTGCTGGGCAAACTGGGAGCGGGACTGGGGGCCCTCGGCGTGGGCACACGGCGCCGCGCGGGTCAGCACGGACAGAGCTCGAAGAGCTACGTAAATGTTATGGTGATGGGCGATAAAAATACCCGAGTAGGAAGTGACATTTCCTCACGTGTGCTTCGCTGTGCGCGGGGCTGTTAGCACGGGGTTTGACAGAGAAGCAAACCCCAATTACCACGGGTTTTATATTGCCAGCTCCAGCAGGACACAGAGGGATAACCTCGGCCCCGAGCCCCACCGGCGCTGCTTCATCCCCCTACCCCTGTCAGATAGTCGCAACCTGTCAGGCCGTAATAAAACAAACTAGGAACTAAGCCAGTCTGTGCGCAGAGCGCTTCAAAAATGATGGAATACGCCTTAGGAGAGCTTGGGGAGAAAGTGGACTTCACGTTGCCCCCGTGGCACCGCCGCAGACAAGTAACTCGCTGTCGGGGACAGAGAAACACCGCAGCGGGGCACGGGCTGCCTGTCCCCTGAGAGCCCCGGCGGGACGCCAGCTTGCAGGTGCCTCTGCGGGGTTCTTCAAGAGTAACAGTGAGATGTTTGGGACACAGATGCTGGGAGGCAGTGACCGTCACATATCCCGCACTGCTGGAGGCATCGGCGGCCTGTGCGCCTCGCCCCGGGCGTGACGCCGCTGCAGGGGGGCTGGTTGCAGGTAGCCCAGAAAATCCACCTGAGCAGCGAGGGGATGGGCATCTGGGAAGATACAGAGTGGGGGCAACAACTCAAAATCTGCCAAAACCCACAGCGGGAAGCAATGCCCCCTGCTCTGGCCGAGGCAGGCAGACGTGCAGCCCGGCGTATTCTCGCTCCACTCGTCCTTCAGAAGGGACAATCCAATCTACCCGTCCCTAGGAAGCAAGCGCTGTGTGCAGAAAAAGCTTCCTGCTCTCTTCATCCACCTGCTTAGGCCTCTGACGGGGGATTTCAGACCTGAGGAGAAGCGCACTCGGGTGGCACTACTCACCCTTCCCTCTGAACACCACAAACACACGCGGTTTTCTCAGCACCACAGTGCTCACCTGGACTGGCTTAACGACAGGTGACTGCACGCACCTTTCGGTGACAAGAGATGCTTGACTCTCCTTGCTGGACATTGGTTACAAGTCTAATTTGAATTTAGGAGTTGCAAACAGAAAAGAAAGGGGAGAACTGCTGTAAGTCAAAACACATATGTGAGACAGAGAAGCATCTTGGGGATCTTTGCCTTAATCATATCCAGACTTCCTGCGCGGGGCTGGAGAACAAGACATCAAGTTTCTAACTTCTCTATTAGTAGAGACAATAAAAAAAAAAAAACACAAAACAAAGAAGAAAAACAACCAAAAAAAAACCAGCCCAAGAGAAAAAGCCCACTACACAAATCACCCTTCTCTGTTCTGTGAAAACAGAGGCAGAGCTGTGCAGGCAGCCCTCGGCCGGGGACAGCCTGTCATCTGTGGTCAGCAGGCCTGGGGGAGAGAGGGCGCAGGAGGCTCTGCCACTGCTCGGGTCCTCAAGCCAGGGATGATCTGCTCCAGCATGAAATGGAGAGCGGTGCCTCGGAGGGGTCCCCTTCCTGCCGCCGGGCTGCTCCCAGCACCCCCCGGCACCCGCGGACCCCCGGGGCCCGGCAGCGAAGCCGGCAGGCTCCGGCAGGACGGCATCCGCGCGCTGCCAATGCCGATAATCCCGGGCTGGCAGGGAGAGCGTTCCTCGACACACGCCGCCTGGGCAGGCAGTCTGAGCCCCGAGAGCGGGGCGGGGGGCGGCGAGCCCAGCACACCCCGGCACTGACAGCGTCCCCTGAAACCCCGACGGTGCCCAGACCCCCGGTGCTCAGCAAGCTCCCTTTTGGCCACGGCAAAACCTGCTGGCTCCTCTTCCTCTTAGCTTAACTCTTTTGGATATAACCAGTATTTTGGACAACCAGTAACAAATTCTGATGCCAAAGCCATGCAGAGTTGCCGTCTATTGGGAGGAAAACCAGCCTTTTATTTCCTGTTTTCTGCTCTCGCCGCCCTCTCGGGCAGTCTCTTGCAGCAGGAACGTGTACACGAAATGAGCAATTTCTCAGGTTTCCCCGCCTTTGCCGCTCCCCTGCCATTATTTACATTTAGCAGGCATGTTTCTGGAGTAGCTCTTGATCCCTTGCCTAGCAGGCTCCAAACATCAAGGGAAGGTTCAGCTGCCTCTGAACATGCTGAAGAAGAAAACTATTGTGGTGGCTGGCTTCTCCTCCTCCTGGTTTTATTTTGATTTTTCACATTTTAAAAAAATACCCTCAGGACATAGGAAAAAAAAACAAACAAACAAAACCAAACCGTGTCAGCAGAAATACTGCAGCGTTCTGGAGGAAAGCAGAGCTACAGAGAGCAGGAGGCAGCCCTGGGGTTATCTCTCCCTCCGCCAAGAGAGGCAGAGCTCCACCATCCCGAGCCCTCCAGGCCCTGGGCTGGCAGCGCGAGGGGCTGGCGCCGAGGCACAGGCCGGGCAGGGAAAGGCACCGCGGGATATTCCAGCGTTACAACAACTTGGGTTTGGGCGAACTCGGGTTCTCCCCGGATCTCCTGGACATTCCCACAGCGGGAGGCCAGCTGGAACACGAACAGGCACACAGCTGGGAGGGCAGAGACGTTCAGTGACTTTGGGGTGAGCATTTGTAAACCACACAGACGTCCCGCGGCGAGGAAGCCACGGGGCAGCGACTAATGCCACATGGAAGAGCACCCCCAGCCTGTCCCCCTGTGTGTATGTGAGCCGTGCCTGATGGTCCTTAGGTATGAGAACAGGCGCCCATTCCTAGGCGCTATGGAGTGAATCCACACACACATCTGCTTCAGCTGCTGCGTGATAAATCACATCAGAGAGCATTTTACACTTTCAGGAAGAAGCGAAGGGCCTGGGGGTGCAAGCTGGACTGCCATTATCGCCCAGCCACAGCAGACCAGTAACAACCACTCTGCAGCACAACAGCTGAAGTTATTCCAACACATACCCAGTGCTGGAAAGGGGCAGCATATCCCTGCCAAAACACCCACAGAGCACCTTTTCCATCCTCGCAACCATTTACCTTACGTGGCCAGAGACTGCAGAAGTGCTAAAACACCATTAAAGTTTGAGAGACTTGAGTAAACTCGGCACCTTGTAAACCGAAGCGCTAACTGAATAAATTGAGAGCACCTGGCTGGCAGCACCAGGGAGAAGTGTGTTTCCATGGACTAACGCTTTCCATTCACGGAGGTATGACTAAAGGAGAAGGGAAACACAGAAACTGCACAAGAACGTCCCAGACAAGCCAAGTACCGATGCGTGCACCCCTTCCCTACGCACGGCCGGCGGAACCCTCGGCGCTCACCGATCCACAGCTTCCACATCAAAGCAAAACCTCTTCTCGATGGAGTCGGTTTTCCGCCGCGTGCAAGATTTGAGGGTAACAGCTTCGTCTTCTCCCTGAGAAGAGACAAAATCGCAGATAAGGCCGAGAATAATCAACCAACCGTGCGCGTGAACCCAGCACCCGCTGCGCTTTCAGTAAACATCTTCAAACCTGGGGGGATACGGCAACGTCAGCCTGCTAGAAATATACATTTATATATCTGACACGAGGACTTGTCTTTCACCCTTACAGACAGGTTTAGTCCAAAATCTCTCACGAGGAGCCCTCCTGTCAGAACACACACGATTAAATTTGTGCATTAAGCATCCCGCAACCCAGGCTTGAGGCAGGAAGAGAGTGTGGAACCACAACTTCTGGGCAAAGGCAGTTTTATTTTCCACTGCTGAACAACGCATCACAGACCTGGCTGTCAGTTTTCACTCCAGGCTGCATTTCTGGCAGCATTCTGCAGACAAGAACTCTTAACAGGAGCAAACATATCTTAAAATCTTTATTAGATAACAAATCAACGACAAAGCCATTCTCCCATCCAAGCTGCACTGGGTTTGGACACGCCGAGCAATCCGGCAGGATCCGCGTGCACTGCTGTCCTCTGCTGGAGAAAATCCCTGCTCAGTCCCTGCCAGCACAGACACTGCTCCTTCTGAAATTTTTAAAATCCACAGATGACTCAATAGAAAATTAATTCTGAACGAGTTCCTGGAGATGGCCGCTTTTCTGTGCTCTCTGTGCTGTTCTTGGTGGCACCTTGGCTGACCACCCTGTTCCCTGACATCACCATTTTTCCAGGAAACATATTTAGAGTCGCAGAATCGTTAAGGTTGGAAAACACCTTTAAGATCACCGAGTCCAACCATTAGCCCAGCACTGCCAAGGCCACCACTAACCCACGTCCCCAGGCACCACACCTGCACGGCTTCTGAACACCCCCAGGGCTGGCGACTCCCCCACGACCCTGGGCAGCCTGTTCCGGGGCTTGACAGCCCTTCTGGGGAAGAGACTTTTCCTAATATCCAACCTAAACCTCCCCTGGCACAACCTGCGGCTGATTCCTCTTCTCATATCACTTGTTACCTGGGAGA